TGCTTGGCATTCAATACAATTTGTCACGCCCCAGTTCTTGTGTTGATGCGGATATTGTCAGTGACAACATTCAGCGACGGTGTCTCAAAATTCGTTTGGCAGCACAGCACTTAGGCACTCGCATTGCATTGGTGCATAAGTTGGTGATATCTTTATTTGCTTGGTCCGGTGCTTTTCATCACTTCAGTGCAAGAACCATTCGAACATGGACATCTATGATCGAAACTGCACTTTGGGGTCGAAGGGTTCCTCCAGGTAGGAGCCGGCTGCTCTTTTGGAATTCTTTGGGTTCTGCAAGACTACATCCGATGTTTGCGCTCCAGTTCACCGCCGCCCGGGCGGAATGGAATCGGCAATGCCGCCGTGCCCAAGGGTTGCCTGCAGCTACCTCGCCTGCTCTTCGCTGGAAAGCAGTACTCAAAGATTGGAAATGGCGACTTGACGATGGCCTGTGGCACACGCCTGCTGGGATTTTGAAACCTGGGTGGGTGTCTTTGAAAAGCTTGCAAAAGGCCGCTATCCATTCATGGCTCGTTGGTTTGTGGACTAAAGACACCAAAACGGATGGTCGATGGCCAAACGGCAAGGAGCCGGTTTTCCTTTTTCAGGCAAATGCAGCTTTAGGCATGGATTACTACAGTCGCAGGGTTTTGACTGGTGCTGCAGTGGATGGCAGGGTCACAGAGCGCTTTGGTTCTGCTTTTGAGTTGTGAATGTGGATTGCGGTCTCCTGATCGAGAACATCTCACTTTTCACTGCCAAGCGCAGCCATGGGATGGTGAGTTCAGGAGCGCTACTGAACGTCGTTTGCTGGTTCCACTTGTGGATGCTCCTCCTGTGTTGCCTTTTTCCAACATGGTAGCAGATCCTGCTTTGGTTACTTTTATTCAGCAATTCGATCCTCTTCAGCGACCCACCTTGGGCTTGGACGGCAGTTGTATCATAGCTACTTCCTGTGATCGATGGCAAAGAGCTAGCTGGGCGGTTTCGACACTTTCAGGCACCACTGTTCAAGGTGCCGTGACTGGTTTTGAGCAAACACCTGCTGCAGGTGAGCGTGCTGCTCTTCTGCAAGCTTGTTTAGCCTCTTCTGCAGCTAACAGACCGGTGATGCTCTTGATTGACAATCAGGCTTTGGTGCGGCGGCTTCAGCGAGGCATTAGCACTGGCCGTTGGGAGGGTGACTTGCCACTTTTCTGGCAGCGGATCAGCGGCTTATTGATTCAGGGCACTGTTTGCACTTGGATCCCTTCTCACAACAAGGTGCCTGACTGGACACCACCAGATGGTTGGATTGATGTTCATCTCTGCCGCGTTCTCAATGCGACAGCCGATGCTCAGGCAGGTGAGGTGTTGCGTGACTCACGCTCCATGATCGCTGCGGCTGTGCAGCGACATCAGCGAGCCGTGGCTTGGGCTGCAGCAGTTTGGCGTCTGCAGAGGCTACGGACTTTACCTTTTTGGCAAGTCGTACTTGATCAACAAACATTCCTTGCGGAATGCTAGCTGGCGCACTGTGTTTACTTCTTTTTTTCAGGCAGGTTTCGCTTCCTTTGAGTTTTGCTTGGAGAAGTATGGGAACTTGATTCTCGCAGATGGCATACTATGGCGTCTTAACTACTTCACTTCGGTGAGGAGCAGGTTGACGTCCGCTTACAACAACAACAACAACAACCACTCCCTTCACCAGGATCTGGTGCTGTTTCGAAGAAAGCATTGCAGCGGCCCAGCCAAAGTTCAGCAGAAATTCTTCAAGCCATTTCCCACCGAGAAGGTTATAAACAAATTAAATATAGTTAATAGATTAAATATGATAAATACTAGTAGGCTTAGAACATGAAAGAACCAACCTTGTTTTTTGATTAATATACAAATATGATAAATACTAGTAGGCTTAGAACATGAAAGAACAAACCTTGTTTTTTGATGTTTTTTGAAGCAAGTGCATAGGTGGTGGTTCTAGAATATGGCAGACATCACTCAAATCAGAGGCTGTGCCTATCAGCCTGTGATGTTTTTCGAGCCGGCTAAGTCCAGGTTGAAGAGCGGAACACCGGGACGCCACTGCTGCTGGATGTGGCCGCGACTGACTCCTCCAATGAGGCCATGGCCATGAGATGGTTGTTTTCCATGGAATCAGTTGCGAGAAACCTGAAAAACATGGCATGCTGAGGCGCACGTGATCACTGATGGTCTGGCAGCCCCAGAGGCGCGTTTGATGCCGCTGCTGGGCTTTTTGATGAAGGCCTTGCGCGAAGCGAACTTTCCCACGTTGCTCGCGCAGAAGGCGGACTTCAAGCTGTGTAGAACCCAAGAGGGATCTCTTCCAGGTTTTTTTTCACTGATCCTTCATGTGATCTTTTTTCCCCAACAGCGTAAGCTAATGGGGTCTTCAGCCCAGAATAGCTCCGGTGTGCACTGGTGCAGGCACCGGCTCAGGTTCAACGAGGTTCCGGAGAAGCTTCCGAAGGTTCCGGAGAAGGTCTGGGAGGCTTTGAAGAGCCAGCTCACGTTCAACAGGGTTCCGGAGAAGGTTCCGGAGAAGGTTTTGGAGGCTTTGGTGCAGAGCCAGATCAGGTTCAACAGGGTTCCGGAAAAGGTTCCGGTGAAGGTCTGGAGGCTTTGGTGCAGAGCCGGGTCAGGTTCAACAGGGTTCCGGAGAAGGTTCCGGAGAAGGTTCCGGAGAAGGCCTGGGAGGCTTTGGTGCAAAGTCAGGTGAGGTTCAACAGGGTTCCGAAGAAGGTTCTGGAGAAGGTTCCGGGAGGCTTTGGTAGGGCCAGGTCAGGTTCAACAGGAGAAAGGTTCGGGAGAAGGTTCCGGAGAAGGTCTGGGAGGCTTTGGTGCAGAGCCAGGTCAGGTTCAACAGGGCTCCAGAGAAGGTCTGGGAGGCTTTGGTGCAGAGCCATGTCAGGTTCAACAGGGTTCCGGAGAAGGTTCCGAAGAAGGTCTGGGAGGCTTTGGTGAAGAGCCAGGTCAGGTTCAACGGGATTTGCAGCCATTTTATTCATGGAAACCCAGCTGAGGTGTTTCCAGCGCTTGGCTTCGCAGCACGCTTCAGAAAGATTTGTAAAAATAAAACATTGCGGCTGTTGGGGATACCACCGAAGCTTCTTTATTTTTTGTTTTGTAAGCAGTTGGCAAATGGCTAGCACGGATTTTGACCCTCGGAATCGCTCATCAGTGAAGAAGGCAGACCGGTCATGCTGTACCCCAGCGCAGCAGAGTGCCGATGTGTGCCGTGGCCAGGGTCTCAGCGTCGACATCTCAAAGGCTGATGCCAAAGAACCAGAGGACAAGATCCGCATCCTCAATTGCATACGACTGCCGGAAGCAAGGACGAAGGCCAGGTCCGGTGCATCGCTTCCATGCCACAAATGAGAACGTACAGCATTGATTCTCCATGTGAAAATCATAGTCGCGCATGCCGAAACATATTTCAAGTGTGCAGTTTTTTCTCTGTTTTTTTTGGTCATTGTTTGGAGGTCTTGGTGCATGTGCAGAGTATAAGCGGAAAGTAAAATTGTCAGTTTTGAAATGCGAGGTAAAACGTTGAGTTAATCTGGGCCACTGATCGAATGTGCACATGATTCATGGGTATTCATGGTTGATATCAATGGCACATGGGTTGACCTGTAGATGGACGTAGACCTGACACCCCTCCGTGGACCTGAGGAGTTGGCTGACGTACCACCCCTTCAAGATCCAAATTATTCAGCTGTGACGCTGGGCCTCGATCAACGAGTGGCGCAGCGCGTTTCTTTGGGATGTGTTTCTTTGATCTCTTGGGAAGTTGTTTCTGTTGAATTTCTTCATTGCTCCCAAGATGGCTGAGGAACAAGGCCCTGGCAGCGCATTTTGCCATCGCTTCCTGGTTTGGTGCCGTTACGCAGGGGCACAACACCAGCAACCTTCGGAAGGCGCTGGCGGCCGACAGCTCACGGCAAATGGTGGAGTTGTCCTTCACAGGCTGCCGTGGCTTTGGGGATAACTCGCTGCAGCAGCTGCTGAATCACTTGCCGAGGCTTTTCGGGTTGGGGGTTCCGGCATGTTGCACGAAGAAAGTTGAAAGATCTTGAAAGTGTGAGTATGATCATGGAAGACAGCATTCTTCGAAAGATTCTGCCATTGTTGTCATAGCAAATTAACCAGTCATTCAATTGATTTAAGTGAATCCCTTAAGACACCCCTATATTTGATGGGGGAAACCCAGGTTTTTCCGAAGATTTTCCACCAGTGAACCAGCTTTTCAAAGGGCAGCTAAAACGACAGGCAGCTGCGTCTGCTTCGCTTGGATTTGGCCTTTAGCGGGGTCCAATCATGGAACGTCCAGGAGGCGCGGGTGGCGGGGTCTGAAGGATTCTCACCAAGTCGGGGATGAGATAAGTCGGGGATTTGAATGGATTTGACCAACAAAAATAGATGGCTATACCATGGATTTCATGGATTGAGAATGGATACAATCACAAATATGGATTTAAATTTTAACCAATAGATACCAATAGATGTAATGGAGTGGTAATGTGTGCATTTCTTCCGTCGAATTCGCAGGAGATGCCTCCACTGGAGCAGCTCACCCTGCGCTTCACGGGCTCCAGGTTGGCAGATGCGTCCGGCTTGGCACAGATGCTCGAGACAGAGCAGTGCCTGGCACGGTCGCTGAAGTCGTTGCAGCTGTGGTTTTCCAACCTTCCGTTGGCAGCTGAGCTTTTGTGGATGCGGATGCGATTTTGGATATCATATCATGTGTATTGCGATTTTTATTACATCCTCATGTGTATTTACGTCACCACATGCGTAATATGTGCATGGAGTTTTCGATTACAGTTCGCAGGTCCTTGGTGGAGCTGGGCTCATGGGAGCCGCTCACAAAGCTGCACCTGGAAGAGTTGGTTTTACAGCTGAAGCGCTGTGGCCAAGTTCCTCCTGAAGCAAAGCAGTCGTTGATCCTCCGCTGCATTCAATACCACGTTGTCACATTGGCAGTACACATCCCCCACCATGAATTCCGCTTGTTCAACTTGGAGTAGCTGAGTATAGTCAGGGCCAAGTTGCCATTTCGTATGATGTACGCGGCTCCAGCAAGGTATGAGTGTGTCAAACAACTGAAGAGAGCTAGGAGGGGACTGGATCTTCGGTTGACGATTGAGGCTGGGAAGCTCCTAATGCTGATTTGGTGTGAGTTAATGCACATTAACTACCGAGGTAGTCGAGACAATTTAAAAATGTTCAAATATGAGTTTGTCATAGTTCATCAATGTCAATCAGACTTTACATTCAGATCAATTCATGAATTTGTCATGTTCTTGTTCACAGTTCACGCCAGGGAGTTGCTGAACCTTCCTGGTCATGGTCTTGGTCTGGATGCCAGCCGCAAGTCCAGGATCCGATCCGAAGGTTTTTTGGAAAGAAAACATGGAGTGTTGTTGTGTTGTTTGGGAAAAAAGAAATCACTGACCTGTTGCTGTTTACAACAATCTATATTATGGAAAAATAAAGCACTCCATAAATTTTGTTTGGATGTTGTTTTCATGGTAACTCCAAGCCCTGTTTCACACAGCGTGTCAGCAGGAGGTGGAGCTGGCTGGTAGCAAGGCTGTGGACTACGTAGATTTTGACGACGCCATTGGCGACAGTGGAGGACGAGCTCCCTTTCCATGCAGCCACAGCAGATGCCATGAATTCCACGAAAACGTTCATGGCTTTTGCCCTAAACATCGGCTACTGCGACACTGTTGGAAACTGGCATCCTGGTGGCGGACAGCCCCCTGGCCAGTTGTGTTTAGTTGTGATGTTTTGTAGAGTTAAACAAAATCTATAGTCATCCCCAAAAAGATAGAACAGGTCCAATTTATCACTCCGTCAGTTTTTGCCGAGTTCTCACGCCTCAAGGGAGGTTGACCACATTTGACCACGACGTACGTATTTATCACTTTAATCTGATTTTACTTTTCCATCTATTTGGGGGTTGATTTTTTGTGTTTTAGATCGCCTTGCGATGTAGCGGAAGCTTAGCCCTGGTTGCCTGCCAGGCTTGGCGATGGGTCGAACTCAGCTTACTTTTTACATTGCAGGCTGCTGCTGAGATTCAGCAGCGGACGACCCTTGCCGTGATCCTGCTGTCGCTGTGCCTCAGTTGCACCGAGACTTGTGCGGGCTGGCCATCTTGAAACTCGAAACATCTTTGAATCGGGTTTGTTGGAAAAGGATGGAAAGGGGTACACCATCAATTATGGCTATTTGAATGGGAAAGTGATGATGAACCAATGGATTTAGGATGATTTAGGGGTATCCCATTTTCTCCTGGTCATCTTTGATGCTAAGTTCACGGCAGGTACCCTGTTGCCTGCTTGTCACTGGAAGAGTCTCTGGGAGTTCCGTGGGCTGCGATCTGCACTTTGCTCTCCGTGATAGTGCTGAGTGACTCAGATCTTGTAGTCGCACCGGTTGTACTTTAATTTTCCAATCCAGACAGGACAAAATCAGAATCAGAATCACGACGCGTCGAAAACACCATAGGAAATCAATGTAAATCATAGGAATTGTCAGGCTGCAATTGAGCTAACCACCATGTTTATGCGGATGTTTGTCCACATGACTTGGAGATGACTCAACGGCGCAGCATGGTGCCGTTGAGCAACCGGCGGGGTCCGGGTCCCAGCGTCCCAGGTAGCATCGTGACGACGAGCATTCGCTTTGACACCGTGAGAGCGCAAATTCTGCAGGAAGCGGTGGCAACAGAAGCAAGTTACTCCCAGGTGCCCTGTCCGAATCCTTCCAGTGTTTGTTCTTTCACGAGATGTATGATGTATGTCAATGTATGTCTCTTTGAGAGGTTTCTTCTGACACGTTTATCCCCAATAAGAATCAGAGTGGGACAATCGAAAGTCAAACCGAGAAAACCGAGAGAGACAAGAACACGATGAGACAAAATAAACCACACTTGGTTGAAAAAAGGAAGGTAAGGAAAGGGCAAACCTAGGCGAGCCCCTTATATTGTGAACATGATGTGTCTTTGTTTGAGAATAATGTACCCCTAAATCCACTGGATTATCATTGATCATCATTTTCCTTATTAAAGCAACCATTTGGGGATCCCATTTTCAGAGACACCCATGTGAACCAAGAACCGATCTTGTCAAGACATGGCGACATGGCAGGTGCTTCAGCTGCCAGAGGCTCAGAACGTCATTGGGGTGCCTTGGCTGCCAAGCCATGCGGGCAACATGCTCCGGGTTCCCACCATGGGCTGCGGCTTTGCAGATCCTCGAGACCTGCGTCAGCAATGTGAAGATTTGCATCTTGGAAGCAACCGGCATTCACCTTTTTAACTTCCTCATGCTTCGCTCTGTTCATGTGATTGTGCTGACATGCATCCATTCCATTCCATTCCATTCCATTCCAATCCATTCCATTCCATTCCAATCCAGTCCTGCATGCCTTCCTTTTTTCCGTTGCATGTTTTTGACTGAATTCAAGTCACTATGCGTGCATGCAGGGCTGGAATATTTTTGGGTGCGCAACAACATCTCCCTCTATTGCGGTGCCTTGTCTCGTGTATCCGTGGGGCGTTTGTTTTTGCTGAGAGCTTCTCCACGTCGCAAACTTCCACGTCCTCATGGCTTTGCCTCAGGAGAGCCATGAATGTGGCGCTGCCGGATGCTACATTGAAGCTGAAACGGCTGACCAATTTGAGCGACGAAGAGAAGCGAAGCCACTCGACCATCTTAGCGGCTTCTCGTGCTGGTGCCAGTATCTAATCATTTCCCCCGGTCGTGGACAGGCTATCCAAAATTATAACGTCGTGTGCTTGAATTGTTTGTACAGACCCAAATGAATGCAGACCCAATTTATTTTTTTCGTTGGGAGGAACTCACTTGTTTTCAACTTCTTTTGGCAACAATCCTTTCAAACATTTGGCGCCCTTCAAGAAGGTACAGGTGCAAACGTTGTACAAGTTGAGAGATGCAGAATGCATATCATGCAATATCATGCATATTGTTGCAAGCAGATGTTTCTTGGGGACTGTCCCAGTGAAGTTTGCTTTACGGATGATCCACTATGATCCAACTAGATGAATTTATGATTTATGATTTGCAGGGACCTCCCCGTATTCATCCATAGTTGCTTTCTCGAATTAGTCCAAAACAGTTCAACCCCCTAGAATCCCAAGACATGATCATTGTTTCGTGATGTTCCTGCACATTTTCAATTTCGTCCATCGAGCAGCAAGGCCCGCAACAAGTTCTGGACGCGCTTCGATTTGAATTGATGTGCGAAAACATGCAATCCGTTCAGGAAGCATTCAAGGGCCTCAAGGTGCACAGGGATTCAGTGTCCGTTTTGCTTCAGTGCCATGAACGAACTGACTCAATCAGAAGGTGTGCAATCTGGTTTCTAAGATTTGTATCTTGTAACTTGGTTTCTAATGTAGCCTACAGCCTACATGTAAACCAGGCATCTCATGTAGCCTGCCCAAAGTGCGCAACCTGGCTATACGAGATAGGACCGCCTTGCGAGCGAAGACATGGTCGCTTTGGGCGTGCGGATCGCTGCTGTCCGGGACACCTTTGCCGAGATGAGCGGGGCCAGCGGCCAAAAATGCTGCCAGGCCCCGCCCTGAAAAGTGACATAAAGTGACCCGTAAGATGCCAGTTTTCTTTCCTAGAACCGAATCCAAAAATCAGCAAAAGAACCGAAAATTCGATGTCTCCACTTGATCTCTGGCAAAATTTAGGGGGAAGTCATCATTATTATCATGAAACATTATGGCTTTTCCATACCTCGCTGTGGATCGAAGCATAAAACGCGGTGTTTTGAGAATCATCTACTCCTTGAACTTGGCAACGGACTAATTTGGCAATGTACTCTGCATCTGTGAAGCTTCGGCTGGCCAGGTAGTTCTGCAGGTGGATGATTATTATTCCTCCGTGTTTCTCATGGATGTCACTTTGACCAGGCCACCTCACAGATGACTTGAAAAAGGTGGCTTCTCAAAATGGGACCCCACAATCACCCGTTTCAGACCCCACCCACTCTAGCCGATTCACGTTCTTTCATCATGATTTATGGAACTGAGCGACTTACCTCCCCAGAAATTTCTTCTCGGAAAGCTATGACATGCCTGCTCGAAAACAACCACTAATTACTTCTGAGAAGTCTTGAGTGTTTTGGTTGTTGAGTTTGAAGTTTTCATTCCATGTTTGGGGCAGGCTCGAGAATCAGCTGAGCGATTTGACCACGTTGGCGGACAATTTTGGGCTGTTGGACGACGTGAAATCAAAATGGGAGACTTCACTGAGGCGAGAACTCAGAAACCAAAGGAACCCAAGGAACCAAAGGAACCCAAGGAAAATCAAATGAAACGGCTTTTGAAAAGGATATGTGTGTCCAAAGTCGATAGGTTGGATCGTTTCATCCAGTGCCATGCCGCCGTGCCAGGCTTTGCAATGATGCATCCAGTGTCGGGCCTTTGACCATGGCAGGGACCATTTTCTTGCAGATTGTGGCGTTGGTCGTGTCCTTTTTCATGGCCGTCCAATATTTCCTCCGTTACGCTCCCAGGAGACTGTTCGGTCTTTTCCCACCCTGGTGCCGTGTGGTCATGAAACTGGATGAAAACCGCCATGCCGCTATGCGTAGGAGACTGGACTACTAGAGGTTGAAGAAACAAACCAACTAAACTCAAACCAACCTCCCAGCAATATGTTTTCTAGTTATCAACAGGTTTTGCTGTATGGTTACCAGATGTGGAAAACCCATGAACATGCCACTATATTAGTTTTTCCACATCTTTTTGATTCTTTTTGTATGTTTACCTTAGGGTACCCAAATTCCATCGTAGGCCGCAGCCTGACAAGATGCGTTGCAGGATCCGTTCTCGTCTGTCCGACTTCCTTCTGGATGCCTTGCTGCTGGACACCGAGGAGTCCAATGAGACGTTCTTGGAGGTGTGGGAGTTCTGTCACATTCTTGATATTTTCAAATATACTTGTTGTGCTACGGAACTCATTTGTGTCGTTTGATGGCAAACCATTTCAAGTTCACCCAAGTTCCAGTGGTGTTCCTCTTGAAACTACAAAATGAAGAAGCGGGAACTGAGGCCGCATTTCTGGCCCTGCCCTACTTGGTCCTGGTTGTGGTGTTCCTGTTACAGCTGTTGTGCCGAAAGACGAGTCGGAAGAGGCCGCGACCCACGGAGGTGCTTTATGTTTCTAGGCAGATGCCGTTTTTGTGTGTTCTGCGAAGGAGGTTTCAAAATTGGTCATGCAAGCCTACATTATCTACATCCACCAGTCTAAATTGAAACCGGGAAATTGTGATACAACAATGGATAAAGGCGGTCCGCATTTTTGAAAATTATTAATGCTTTCCGTCAGGATCCAAGAATTTACTTCATTCAAGGTGCCCTTTTTACGCTGTATCTCGGTGTTCTTGGTCCTGAGGAAAAGTATTTTGGGTTGCGCGGAGCTTACTACCCCTTCAAGGTGGCGATCTTCCAATGCTTCACCGTTGCGGTGCAGGCCTTGGGAAAGATCTCCTTGTTGGGCGGCCTCGTTACCTTCGCCCAAGAAGAACAAGATGCGACTGCCATTGTTTGGCTTAGTCTCGGCTTCTGGGCTTTCTTTGCCCTACTCTGTTGGAACAGTCTCTATCCCGCCTTTCTTTTGATGTTTCCTGACACTGCCTGGGCTCGAATTGGAGCAGCATTTATGGATGCTGCTCTGGACCTTGGCTACATCTTGACCTACCTGGGTATGGCATCTAGGTTTCAATTCATTTTGTTTGACAAGTCTCACGGGTTTCAACGTCGTTTCATTGATGGCTTGGCAGATGGCGTTCAGTCGGGAAACGCAAAAGTGTAATTGCTGCAAGGTTTTGGTGGCCATGCTGCGATTGCAGACAGCCTCCGAAGGCTGGGGAAATTTTGGCGAGGACTTGACGTTGCAGTTCAGAAACTAAGCTCAATGAAGTCAATGCGTCAACCGGCATCAAGTGAAGTGTAAGCGTCTCAAGCGCCTTGTTTCGCATGGCATAGCGGCGCCATCCGAGTGGGATCTTCACCGCAACTTTTTGGATATCTGAGGCAATCGTATCAGCCCCGTGTTCGCCTTTCCCACTGACTTTCTGGGCTATGGCGCCGTGTATTTCAACTTAGCACACGCATGCTGCATTGCACACATTTTGCAGCACACCAATTGGAGCTTGCCAGTGCGACCCAGGCCTCGACACTAAGACTAAACAGCTTGCCATGCCAGATTTTGCCATGCAAAGATGACAGTTTCGTTGTGAACTGACAACAGCAAACAGCATGTCAGGGGCGAGCGCCAAAAACGGAGAGTTCTTCCAGCACTATTTGGGTGCTCCCTTTCCATTGGGCTCCTTTCGATGCTGGTGATTCTCCTTGTGACGCAGGACTGCTGCATAAGATTTGCATTAGTGACCTCGAGCTGTGATTTTGATTTGACGACACTTGTTCAAGCGCCTTTGCAGGACGTTTTTCCAATGACCCATGGACAGGATTTCAGGTTGAGCTCTCAGGGAATCGTTTGTGTATCTTTTTGTCATGGGATGTCTTAGTGAAAAGATCAAACAAGAGGTTGTAGAATGGGATTACAAGTGTCTCCTAGGTGTTTTCCGTGCCATTGCTCTGACAATGCTGACTCAGCTGGCCAACAGATTGACAGCTGCACCATTGCAGCCGTCCTCAGACAGAAGCAGGCCGGGCGGATCACCGGCGGTTTGTTTTTCTGGGTGTGTCTGAAAATGGGGGTAGGCCGAGACCCCACGATAGACCCCCAAAATGGCCATTCAATGGTGACAATCAGGAAAAAAATCAAATATCGAGGCACCATCTTTTCGGACAAACCCATCTGTTTTTGGATGCTTACGGACATGCGCTGACTTTAGGTGAACCTCGCTGCGAAGAACATCACTGCCGTGGACCCAAAGGCTTTCAGCTCACTTGGACATGTGCAGCGCCTGTCATTGGCGAACAACACCTTGATCCACCTGCCTCCGGGTCTCTTCGAAGGCAGGAAGCTTTGAGCGGCATTCGTCGAAGAATAGTTGCGTATAATGCTAACCCATGGATTAATAATGATTAATACACAGTAAACCCCCAGTTTTTACAGTAAACCTCCATGAATTATTCAAGCCCCGAGTTTATTGAGTTTTTAATCCAGGGCTGACATTTTGAAGGCTTTGCAAGGACACAAATTGTGATGTTCATGCCGTTGTTTCAGGTCTATCATCTTTGGAGCAGTTGGACTTGACACGCGTTGAGCTGGCAACACTTCACGAAGATTCCTTTCGGGGCTTGGAGCAGCTGAAACTATTGGCGATGAGACACCTGTCAGCACCTGTCAGCACCTGTCAGCACCTGTCAGCAGCTGAACATGTTTGAACAAACACTTTTCTTTTCTTTGACACAACAGTTTGACATTCAATCTGTGTCACCCATTGGCATCGACCAAGGCGACAACCAGCTCACCGAGCTCTCGGCTGCGATGATGCGACACCTGCCGCTGTTGGAGCAGCTGCTCTTGGGCGGCAAACGCGTCATGCGCAGGATCATCGTGAACGGCAATCGCATAGAGGAGCTCGGAACCATCTTCGGACGCAACGAACAGCTGCAGGTGATCGACCTCAGCCAAAACCTGCTCCAGAAGATTGACCCAGCTACGTTTGCAGGACTAAAGAAGCTCCGATGGCTGAGCTTAGAATCAAACCAGTTGACGACAATTCCTGCAGGGACATTCCAAGGCCTTGATCAACTCCAGAAACTCAAGCTGGAGAACAACAAGTTGACGACACTTCCTGCAGGGACATTCCAAGGCCTTGGTCAACTGCAGGAACTCTATCTGTACCTTAACAAGTTGACCAGAATTCCTGCAGGGACATTCCAAGGCCTTGGTCAACTGCAGCTACTCCATCTGAACGACAACAAGTTGACGACACTTCCTGCAGGGACATTCCAAGGCCTTGGTCAACTGCAGGAACTCTATCTGTACCTTAACAAGTTGACCAGAATTCCTGCGGGGACATTCCAAGGCCTTGGTCAACTCCAGAAACTCAATTTGGCCCACAACCAGTTGACCAGAATTCCTGCAGGGACATCCCAAGGACTTGGCCAACTGCAGGAACTCGATCTGTACGGCAACAAGTTGACGACAATTCCTGCAGCGACATTCCAAGGCCTTGGTCAACTGCAGAAACTCGATCTGGGCGGCAACCAGTTGACCACAAGTCCTACGGGGACATTCCAAGACCTTGGTCAACTGCAGGAACTTGATCTGTTCGGCAACCAGTTGACCACAATTCCTGCAGGGACATTCCAAGGACTTGGTCAACTGCAGGAACTTGATCTGTTCGGCAACCAGTTGACCACAATTCCTGCAGGGACATTCCAAGGCCTTGGTCAACTGCAGCTACTCAATCTGGGCAGCAACAAGTTGACCATAATTCCTGCAGGGACATTCCAAGGCCTTGATCAACTGCAGCTACTCAATCTGTACGGCAACAAGTTGACGACAATTCCTGCAGGGACATTCCAAGGCCTTGATCAACTGCAGCTACTCAATCTGTACGGCAACAAGTTGACCAGAATTCCTGCAGGGACATTCCACGGCCTTGGTCAACTGCAGAAACTCAATTTGGTCCACAACCAGTTGACCAGAATTCCTGCGGGGGCGTTCCAAGGCCTTGATCAGCTCCAGGGACTCAGGCTGGAGTACAACAAGCTTGCCACAATTCCTGCAGGGACATTCCAAGGCCTTGGTCAACTCCAGAAACTCAATTTGGCCCACAACCAGTTGACCAGAATTCCTGCAGGGACATCCCAAGGACTTGGCCAACTGCAGGAACTCGATCTGTACGGCAACAAGTTGACGACAATTCCTGCAGCGACATTCCAAGGCCTTGGTCAACTGCAGAAACTCGATCTGGGCGGCAACCAGTTGACCACAATTCCTACGGGGACATTCCAAGACCTTGGTCAACTGCAGGAACTCGATCTGGGCGGCAACCAGTTGACCACAATTCCTACGGGGACATTCCAAGACCTTGGTCAACTGCAGGAACTTGATCTGTTCGGCAACCAGTTGACCACAATTCCTGCAGGGACATTCCAAGGACTTGGTCAACTGCAGGAACTTGATCTGTTCGGCAACCAGTTGACCACAATTCCTGCAGGGACATTCCAAGGCCTTGGTCAACTGCAGCTACTCAATCTGGGCAGCAACAAGTTGACCACAATTCCTGCAGGGACATTCCAAGGCCTTGATCAACTGCAGCTACTCAATCTGTACGGCAACAAGTTGACGACAATTCCTGCAGGGACATTCCAAGGCCTTGATCAACTGCAGCTACTCAATCTGTACGGCAACAAGTTGACCAGAATTCCTGCAGGGACATTCCAAGGCCTTGGTCAACTCCAGAAACTCAATTTGGCCCACAACCAGTTGACCAGAATTCCTGCGGGGGCGTTCCAAGGCCTTGATCAACTCCTCAGACTCTGGCTGAATGGCAACCCTTGGAATTCTTCGAGTGTTTGCATTAATTCTTCCTCGTTTCCGCTGCTGAATGATTTGCGGGGCGTAAGCTTTTGCTAAAACGTTTAGGGACAGAGCGCTTGAAGTGCATCTGGCCCTTTTGCAACCACAGTTTTGGAAGCGTCACAGCAAGCGCAGAAAAGAACTTCAGTGTATCAGTTGCCGACACAGCTTGCGGGTCCAGCCCCATATGTCACATCAAGACCTATCCGCCTCGGTCAGCCAGCCTTGATCAAGGACACGCACACATTGTTTCTCGCCGTTGGGGCTCTCAGAGTCGGGGACCTTCAGCCATTCCTTTGATCCCTGTGATTAGGCAACGCTTGGTGTTGCGTACCCTTTGGATGTACCTTGCGGGCACATCTCGCTATGCGCCCTATGACATCTTCGTCACCCCACGTTGCAAGGCACATGATCCTCAACATATTTGAGGTCTAGCCATGCCGGGTTGAGGCAATACTCACATCCAGCTAGCACTTGGTACTCGAAGTCCCGACTTACTTGGGTAGCTCGATGTCAGATTGTGCGTTGAAGATTTCTCAAAGTGCACATGAGTATAGAAAAACCATCCCTCCATGTTTGCAACCATGGCATACAGTATGCAGTTCCATGTGGATTTTGGGTCTGAGATACCAAAGGCTCCGCTTTTTCATGGAAGCAAGCTGTGCACATGTTTGATATGCTTCCTTACATATCTTACATTCCAACCGAGAAGTTGCACAGGCACATGCACACAATACTTGATGCATATTCAAGTAGTTGAAACTCAGAATAGAAGTATGATTGTTCAAAGATTTCGGCATGTTTGGAAACTCGCATCCTGTTGGCGGATTGCCCCTTGGCCAGTTGTGTTTAGTTGTGCTGTTCTGCAGAATGATACACATATAATCTATAGTCATTCCTAAAAATATGTGAACGGTTTAATTTATCAGCAATATCATAAGTAATGATTATTTCACCCACTCGTGTTTGCTTCTCTCCTTGGCTTTGTTTCAGATTATATATTATATATATTATTTCATTGCATATTATTGCATTCTTTCCTCTTATTAATATTATTGCATTCTTTCCTCTTATTATAAATCTAATGTTTCCACACATTTCGTTTTACGTTTATTACAAAATACCCAAACTCATATGGACCACCCGAACCAAATATTTTTTGACATGTTTCGTAGGTTACACTTGTTTCAAATGCGATCAACTGCGATATACTTTTATGATCTTCCAAACACCTGGAATTTGGCACTCTAACCAAGACACCTGTGGAAGAGACCTGAAGTTGGCAAAGGGAAAACCAAGGAGCAAAGTGGACAGAACTCAAAAGTCAACACATCTTTTTCTGCTTACAGTCTGGAACTCTTTGGTCTTTGGGCCCAACTTAAAGGAATATCCATATGGTCCAGATGGGTCCCAAGCTGTTGGAAGTCATCCAGTGGTCTTGCCACCAGGTCATGCAGGAAGTGAAAGGGAAACTGATGGTTTTTCTGCCACCTGGCATCGGAGGAGAACCTCCAGCAACTCCTTCTTTAAAAGTCGCTTGGACTTGGATCGTGGTTGTTTGTCAGTCACAATTTCTGCATGTACACTGCACACTGCATCACTCATCCAGATCTCCAAAGCAGTTCTTGACACGAAGAAACTACGATGGAGTTTGTTGCGTGGATAGCAGGTTTCACTCTCACTTTTCAGAGGTTTCACCGCAAGGACCCTGAGACTCCCGGATTGGAGTGATTTGTTTGGTGATTTGTGATGCAGCGCAGTGCGCTTCAAAACTCGCCTGGTAGGGTGCGGAGTGAAGGGTTTGGTTGGACGCAATTGAAACGAATCATATTTCTCAGTTTCGGTTTTTGTTGCCTTTCCTCGATGAGAGTATTGTGCTCACCGGACTCATAGATTGTACCACCTTGTTGGTTCCTGCGACTATTTTGCAGCGTGTCTTTGACACACCGCAATGGTTTCAGAGATCCATTCCAATCGCTTTTGAAACCGTCCCAAAGTAAAACCCACAACACTTTTTACTTCTAAGTCTATGGCCTATGGAGATCCAAAAAACATCAAGCAACATGTTCGACCTCAGCAGACACAAGTGGTACTGCGTAGTTGACGAGTTTGAGTCTCAGCGCTGAGTGTTGGAGCAATTCAAAGGTCGTTGAAGTTGTGGATCTGTTTGGATGAAAAATACTTCAGATTCATAAGGTCACAAAGCACCAAGAAACCCTACAGAGCCATCCAGATATTTTTGCTGCAAGCAATGACAACTGCCAAGGTTGGCATTGTTTTCAACTGCAGAGACTCAGAGTCTTACCATGTCTTGCCAGTAGCTGTGAGTGTTGATTGCGTCACGAATCTGAAAAAGATACACTCCTTATGTCATGATCACGTCACAGTTGCATTCAGCTGCACAAGCTATGTCGGAAAGCCATGCGCCAACGAGACCTGACAGGCGGGAGATCTGGATTCCTGAACCCCTGGGGTGTGGGCTGAAATGTGCTGGCACTGTGGACAAGATCTCGTACCAGCGCGAGTGCCAATAAGGGATCCCATCTATTGCCAAGTAGCGTCGCATTCTGCTGACCAACTAGTTCGAAATGCATTTTTCATGCCTGCAGGTGGTCGAAGAACCACGAAAAAACTGACAGCAACCAGCTGGGTCTTCATTTTGTGAAGTGATTTGTTTCCCAGTCGGCATCCGCTCGGTTTCCCGCTCATCCCTCTGAGTAGATCAGATAAAATCAACATAAATCAACACACGCGTGCGTTGTGATCTATGTTGACAAATTTCTTCACACCGCAAAAGACTCACAAGAGATTGGCAAATTGCAATGTTTTCACCAACATTGTGGGGAAACACCTTGGTCGTTTTCATCTTGCCACACCTTGATACACTTTGCCGGTTTCCCGCCAGATTGGTCTGATACCACGTTGTATAAGAAAAGGTGACCTGCTGCTATCTTCTGTAAGGGCTAAAGGTGGATTTTTCTTGCAGAAGGTAGTCATTGTGCAGACAAGACATGACAAAACTATGCAAAGCTCATTTTTTGGTTTGATAGAGTTCAACCTGCAAGCGCACCAAAGCTTTTTGGAACCGCAAAGCAGTCCTTCGATTTCAAGCTTCATGCGTGTGCTGTTTTGCCGAAACCATCAGCAAGGTGGACATGTGCGGTTCATCCTTCAGTTCCATCCTGAGTCGCTTAGACAGCTGCGCAAATCCAGCAGATTCATCCAGATTCGCATCTGCACATGCCACGGCTGCGAGAGTGTTCTCGATCCCTCTGATATCCCTGTGACTGCAGCGTTTTGATTTAAGTCAAGGTGTTCAGCTGCTTAGTTTTTCCGATTGCTCGATTTCCTTGGAATTTTATGGCCACAGCTGCCGTCACCGTCCCCGGTGGCGCCGGCGCATCGGGCGTGATCCCATGCCCACTGCCCGCGACGGTGGAAGATGCCATTTGCGCTGCGCAAAAGATGCAACCAGGTGAGCCATGTCAAACGTATGGGGGGTTTTCATCAATCATGAAGGGGCTCATGCCATTGATTCTTAGATGTTATCAACCAGCTCGTGACAGTTTCCCAAACAGGCTTTTCTGACTGCTCGATTGGTGATGTCCGAATCTCAGGTGGCTGGGAGAATGCCGTGCTTTCCCAGGGTGTCCAACATTTAAAACCAGGCGCTGCCCTGGAAGCTGCTGCGTTGCTTGGTTTCGAAGACTTTTGCTGCACTGCTGGACTGGTGACGTGTCGTGCCTTCGACAGTAGCTACGCTACTTCTCCAGGTTGGGACATGGGAAACTGAGGTATACCTTGGTGAGCTACGATACCTTAGGCAGCCGTGCGATCAACGTCCCACAAACGGAATGCCGTGGTATCAACTTGAAGCAGCTGTCGCAGCTGGTGGATTTCATCCGTGACCATGCGCATCTCTGGGTGGAGACGTTCCTTGACATAAGTGGAGTTGGTTCTAGCTGGTCCTAGTTGTTGCTTTCAGGCATATCCACAGCTGCCAAGTTCATGTAGTTTTCTTTGTTTCAAGTTCAGCTTTCGCTCCGTACTGTAGCTTTGTCAAACCCCAGGTACTCTGGCAGCCCAAACTTTGAACAGCCGTTGGAGCTGCAGACCTTCAACCTCTACCACACATCTCATTGGGTCATAGAGCCAGCCACCCTGCGGTACAGGTGCAGCTTCGTGGAGCTCGTTGCCAAAGACGCAGAAACGCAGTTCCCGTGTTGGTTTGTGAGCCATGCGTGGCAAGAAGCCGTGTGTCGCTTTGTTGCTTGCCTGCGCCAGCACGCGGAACTGCGGAATGCCGTGGGACTAGCATACTGGGTCTGTGCGTACGCAAATAATCAACACAAGCTGCAGGAGTGCTGTGCTCATGACATCTCATGGCTTTGGCGATTTAAAGTTTGGATTCAATCCCAAATCATGGTCACGAAAGCTAGCGGTAGCTAGCTGAGTTACTCTTCCTTCAGCAAGGGAGGGGCAGGTCCGAGTCCAACACAACTTGAACCCCCCCTAAGCTCCCGGGGCATTTTGAAGCAGTCTCGGAAGCAGATGGTCACGGGCTCAAATCCTGCCAGGGCCGTCCCTCTGTAACTCTCTAGAACAGGATTTGTTGAGTTTTATGTGCTGTCCAGTTGATGCGAGCCGAAACGTGCCGCAGCTGCTCAACAACAAAAACAAGGTGGTGAAAAAAGAGATCTGGACAGGCATCCTATCTCATGAGACACAAACTTTATTTATAGAGTCACCATCTTCCTTGGTTCAGATGTTTTACGGCTTGCAACGGAAGATTACGTGTTGTTCGGATGGAACTCTTGCGCGCGATGCCTCACCAGAACCTTGGGCTCGATAGAGTTCTTTCTAACTCAGGTCAACACTGTGTAGATTTGAGCCCATCAAAAATTACAATTTTGGATGGGGCCCAAACCTTATAGTCACCATCTTCTTTGGTTCAGATGTTTTGCGACTTGCAACGGAAGATTACATGTTGTTCGGATGGAACTCTTGCGGAAGACGCCTCACCAGAACATTGGGCTCGATAGAGTTCTTTCTGACTC